TGTTTTCCTCACAAATAATAACTTTGGACATGTGTGTGTTCCTATCAAAGTAAGTGCCTTATTTTCTGTATATCGTATTGTCATTTCTACTGTAGCATACAGCTTGTATGTATGTTTTGTATGTATGGAGCATAATGTATTTACAGTACTGTTTTCAAGTACTGGTGACAAATAATGCATTCCGATTATTGCATAGATTGTAATGGACACCTATGATGTGTGTAAAATACTTTTTTGAAGGTTCTACTGATTATAATGATCTAATGCCAAGCTATTTGCCAGCTATGTGTGGCGCCATGTTTGTTGACATTATACAATGCATTCTGGGTGTCATGTAAACGTCTGTCAGACCAAATATGTTATAATGAGGTGAAGGGCAAACTTCCGGAAGTGAATGATCTTAGACGACACACCCCCTTCAACATGCATACTGCAAACAGACCAAACTAATCTGGTCTCCTCTTATTATCTTTGGTTGAGGCGAAAAAACTAACATGGCGGCGTGCACAAACTACCCATCGTCGTATTACTTTCGATTTCTAGAAAGTGTTTTACTCAATTATTTTGACCGCTTGTGTTACGTCAATCTTTCCTCAGTTAGCGCTAGGACTAATGTTGCCTACATTTTCCGATTTGGATGATTGTGTCGATACTTCTGTGAATGTCTGAACATTGCATCCAAAAAATAAACTGGTCACATTCAGGACATAACTTTGTAAGGACTGTGTTTGTGCAAAATGTTTCTGTGAAAAAACAGTGTGGCTAGCTCAAATGCTGACTGTTGCGTCAATCAAAATTGGACGTTCTAAATAAGCGTTCTAATCACACCAGTTTGAGCGTACGCTGCAGGGACCACTGTAGAATGATCACACCCATTTGTTGGTACGTGTCAAAAGGTTAACACCACATGACATTATCAACACCTATCATCTTTTGTGCAAGACATGCATAATACCTACAAGTTCACTCTCACATTAACATAATAACATTTAAGTCTACTTGGGCACTGACATATTATTTATTAGCTGTGAACATCTAAGACGATGAGGTGCCCGATGAAGAGCTCCGTGGCCTGTTTGTCAGATGTCTCTACCTCCCTGCCTGGCTGTTCCATCTATACTCCATCCTCTCAAGATATTACTTTATGAACTACCTATCATCTAAAGCTGTGGAAGACTATCACCCAAGAACTGCCAGATCCCTAAATTGGTTTAGTAAATGTTTTTGTTTGTTTTGTTTTTAAAGCGACTTTGATTCTACTTGTATTGTAAAGCGCTATATAAAATAAATATGTTATTATTATTATTATTATTATTACTTAGTCTTCACACGCTATCTAGAACCTATAAGGGTTCTTCGGCTGTCCCCATAGATCAAATAACCACGATGTTACAATAGCAAGCAATTGTAATTCTGGTTTGCTATTGCCGAGTTCTGTGCATGGTTGGTTCTCTGCATGGCTCTGCTCTCTATTTATAAATCTGTATTGTATAATGTAGTTGACAGTATGGTAGGGGGCCAGTAGAATTGTCGCTATTTTCACAAATGTTCAAATGATTAGATCTTAATACTCTTTAGTATTAAATTGCCTAGACCAATATATATATATAAAAAATAAGAGGGCAGGTAGCCTAGCGCTTAGAGTGTTGGGCCAATAACCAAAAAGTAAGAATCCCCAAGTCAACAAGGTGAAAAATCTGTCGATCTGCCCTTCAGCAAGGCACTTAAGCGCGGTCAAAAATGGCTGATCCCTGACTATGACCCCACTCTCCGAAGGTGTCTCAGGGGGAGTTGGAAAGTACAAAAAACACACTTGTACAAGTTACCCTCTTGTACATGCAGTGAAACAGGACAAATATAAGCAACCTATTTCAGTATATGCAGTATTATAAGCAAAGACACTGTAGAGTGAGTCATTTTACATTTCTCAAATTTTAAACATGTTCTAATCTTAATAATTGTTGGTATATAGATGGTCTGGACCTTATATAAAAACAATATAAAAGAAATACACACTGTCTCTCACACACACACTCCTAGAGTATATTATACAGTATAAGCAAATCCAATGTAAGTCAATGGAGAGTGAGGCCTGCAACAGCATTCTCCCTCTTTCTCTCCCTCTCTCACAAGCACACGTGTACACACATACCGCAGACACACACACACACACAGGTGTGCATGGATGTCTCATGGTAGGGTGGGGTATGCGAAATAGCATCTACCATGGGCAGACATGTATGGAAGGTGTCATTCAAATGACACAAATCAAAGAAACCAGTTAGGACATCAGACTTAATAAGATTAGCTTCAAAGACCTGTATTTGTAAATGAATTCAGAATGGTTGGGCTTTCCCACCCGGTGTTGTTTGTTGGTGTGTGTGTGTGTGTGTGTGTGTGTGTGTGTGTGTGTGTGTGTGTGTGTGTGTGTGTGTGTGTGTGTGTGTGTGTGTGTGTGTGTGTGTGTGTGTGTGTGTGTGTGTGTGTGTGTGTGTGTGTGTGTGCACGCACATGGGTGTGCAAGCGTGTTTGTATGTCACATGTGCTTGTGAGAGAGGGAGGGAAAGGAAAGAGGGAGAATGCTGTAGCAGGCCTCACTCTCCATTGACTTACATTGGATTTGGTTATACTGTATAATATACTCTAGGAGTGTGTGTGGATTTCTTATTTACTTAAGTATTCAGACCCTTTGTTATGAGACTCGAAATTGAACTCAGGTTTATCCTATTTCCATTGATCATCCTTGAGATGTTTCTACAACTTGATTGGAGTCCACCTGTGGTAAATTAAATTAATTGGACATGATTTGGAAAGGCACACACCTGTCTATATAAGGTCCCACAGTTGACAGTGCATGTTAGAGCAAAAACCAAGCCATGAGGTCGAATGAATTCTCCGTAGAACTCCGAGACAGGATTGTGTCGAGGCACAGAAGGGCCTTGGTTAGGGAGGTGACCAAGAACCCGATGGTCACTCTGACAGAGCTCCAGAGTTCCTCTGTGGAGATGGGAGAAGCTTCCAGAAGGACAACCATCTCTGCAGCACTCCACCAATCAGGCCTTTGTGGTAGAGTGGCCAGAAGGAAGCCACTCCTCAGTAAAATACTTGGAGTTTGCCAAAAGGCACCTAAAGGACTCTGACCATGAGAAACAAGATTCTCTGGTCTGATGAAACCAAGATTGAACAGTTTGGCCTGAATGCCAAGCGTCACGTCTGGAGAAATCTGGCACCATCCCTACGGTGAAGCATGGTGGTTGCAGCATCTTGCTGTGGGGATGTTTTTCAGCAGCATGGACTGGGAGACTACTAAGGATCGAAGGAAAGATGAACGGAGCAAAGTACAGAGAGATCCTTGATGAAAAACTGCTCCAGAGCGCTCGGGACCTCAGACTGGGGCAAAGGTTCACCTTCCAACAACACAACGACCCTAAGCACACAGCCAAGACAACACAGGAGTGGCTTTGGGACAAGTCTCTGAATGTGCTTGAGTGGCCCAGCCAGAGCCCGGACTTGAACCCAATCGAACATCTCTGGAGAGACCTGAAAATAGCAGTACAGCAACGCTCCCCATCCAACCTGACAGAGCTTGAGAAGATCAGCAGAGAAAAATGGGAGAAACTCCGCAAATACAGGTGTGCCAAGCTAGTAGTATCATACCCAAGAAGACTCAAGGCTGTAATCGCTGCCAAAGGTGCTTCAACAAAGTACTGAGTAAAGGGTATGAATACTTATATAAATGTGATAATTCCATTTTTAAATGTTAATACATTTGCAAAAATTTCTAAAGACCTGTTTTTGCTTTGTCATTATGGGGTATTGTGTGTAGATTGATGAGGGAAAAAATCTATTTAATCAATTTTAGAATAAGGCTGTGACGTAACAGAATGTGGAAAACGTCAAGGGCTCTGAATACTTTCTGAATGCACTGTATATATACACCTTCCTAATATTGAGTTGCACCCCCTTTTGCTCTCAAAACAGCCTCAATTCGTCGGGGCATGGACTTTACAAGGTGTCAAAAACGTTCAGGGATGCTGGCCCATGTTGACTCCAATGCTTCCCACAGTTGTGTCAAGTTGGCTGGATGTATTTTGGGTGGTGGACCATTCTTGATACAAACAGGAAACTGTTGAGCGTGAGAAACCCAGCAGCGTTGCAGTTCTTAACTCAAACCGGTACGCCTGGCACCTACTACCATACCCCGTTCAACGGCACTTACATATTTTGTCTTGCCCATTCACCCTCTGAATGACACACATACACAATCCATGTCTCAATAGTCTCAAGGCTTAAATATCCTTCTTTAACCTGTCTCCTCCCTTTCATCTACACTGATTGAAGTGGATTCAACAAGTGACATCAATAAGGGATCTTAGCTTTCACCTGGTCAGTCTATATTACGGAAAGAGCAGGTGTTTCCGTTTTTTTTACACTTAGATATTGTAGACAAACGCTTTGGCCGATTTTAGATTTGTCCATCAGTAAGCTCAGAGGGCAAGTGTACCAAATTAAATGTTACATTTCCGTTATGGACATGAATGGGTTAATAACAAGAGAGTTGTGTTGATGATTTTAGAAACATTTTAGAAAATGGAGTATATTAATTATTCATTAGATAATCTAGCTAGTCCGCAATGGTCTGCATATTGTTTCCTATGCGTTCTTCAGTCGAGCTTTCCAACGCTCACAACCTGGAACTAACAGAATTGCTTTGTTTATAAACATTCTGATTTGGTCTATAGGAGAACCCTTTGAAGAACCATTTTTAGTTCTAGGTAAAACCCTTTTGGTTCCAGGTAGAACACTTTTGGGATCAATGTAGAACCCTTTCCACAGAGGGTTCTACATGGAATCCAAAAGGATTCTACCTGGAACCCAAAAGGGCTCTCCTATGGGGACAGCTGAAGAACCCTTTTGGAACCCTTTTTTCTAAGAGTGTTCTGGTAGATCTGATCTGAATGATACCGATAATACACAAGTAAGATTGATCTTCACTCACCCAGTTCATGAGCAGTGGTGAAGGCCGAAGGGAGACCGTCATCCTCGATGACAGAGCAGCTTCTCTTGGGATCACACATAGTGCCCACGTCTGCCATGCCTAAGGTGTCACAGGTAGTGGCTCCACACAAGTCCTGTTTCAGGAAACAAATTACGTGATCATCTGGACAATGTGATGAGATGGGGAGGTGTGTAGGTGTGTAGGTGTGTAATATAATTTGTCTTATGTGTATGTGTGTTGTTATTTCATTGCATATCCACCATCTTTTGGTAGATTTTAAAGCAGAAAACACTAACAATCCAGTCCAATGTTCTGGTTAGGCCCATTAAAAAATATATATATATCTCTCTCCCTCTCTCTCTGATGTGCAAACAATGTGGCCCAGTGAACTAACCCTTTAATCCACAAGATGCTTAGGGAATGTTACAGCTGTCAGAGAAGAACAATTGCACTGCCACGTGCCAAGAGGTCTGTCTGACAATGGAACTGATAAAAATGTATTGTACTTGACCATTGTACAATGCTTTCAAATACATGCTTATTTGATTTGAGTCTGATAATTCTTATCTGATATAACCACATTGTCCATGCAAGCACATTAACACCATGCCTCTAGCCTACAATATTCAATTCAATATCCCCCTCCCCCAATAAAGTCAATAAACACACTCTATCTCCACATGGTAACTGTATAGGTCAAGGCATCTTCACCAAGTGGGATCATTTTACACCACTTTGATCACAGTTGGACAGATTCAGTCTCAGAATGAAATGTTATGCACTCGAAGAGAACCAATGCATCAGATTGCTCCCAGCCAAGCTAGGCTTAATGGAAAACAGATAGACTGGCTGAATTCAGGCTGAGAGGCAGGACTAAAGGCTCACAGCTGGAAGTGAGAGGATCATCACAGAGAAATGGATACTTCCCATTCCACCATCGGAGTGTGTCAAATCCTAGCTCTGGCCAGGCGTTAGTGCTAATGCTGAGCTTTCCATTAGCAAGCTGCGCTGAAGCCCTTGACCAGAGCTAGTGAAACCTCTGTCTGGCCTGTTCTACCTGTGGCATTTCTAAACTCGTTGACATGGTGCTAACGTGGGTTGGGATCATAGAGAACGATAGAGGCCTCTAGTGGCCAAAAGGCAGTTTTAGCATGGGCAGCGCAATTGAGGGCTTCCACCATGCTTCCGCCCAGTGGCGACTCGTCATTTGTTTCGAGCCCCAGCTGTTTAGCCCCACCTGTTTTGCATGTTATTTTGGAAGTAATATGTGTCACATATCAGTTTGCAAACAATGTTAAAAAAAAAAGCTAAACAAATTCTTAATTGAGTTATTAAAGCCGCATACAAATATGGTCTCTTTTTTTGCTTTCTTGAGTAAGGCAGCTCCAAAATGCAGCTGTTTCAGCCTAGCTCAGTGCTTTCTGTGGTGATGGGGCAGCCAGCTGAAAATAAGGAGCGTAAGGGTTGGTAATGTTGGCTCAGTGTTCTGTCACTCATGGGGACACTACGTCACCACAAAGTCTAAGGGTAGAGCTGGAAAATTCAAGCCCCTTGGGTGCTGCCATAGAATTACATTAGAAGTGCCCATCCAAGAAGGCTCAAGATCATTGGCCACAGATAAAATGACGTCAAATCACGTTATATCTACAGTAGCTTTGATTGGACTGATCATGTCAACATCATACTTTCAAAATCTTAGCTAGCAAGCTAGCAGTCATCATAATGAATCAAGTTGACAATCTACTGGCAAATCCTTTTCAATCCTTGTCATATGAAGAGAAATAATGAAGATAAATTATAGAGAAAACGTATCGGTGCTCTTCGGCCATTGGACATGGACATTACACAACAAGTTGGAAATTGCAAATTCAACAATGAGGGGTTTGGAAGGAATCAGTGGCTAACTGCAAGCATCGCAAAGCAATCACTAGCCTGCTATTCGGTGGAGTGGGTGTGTGGTCCCAAGTCTGGGTTTAAGGGTCTCTTTTCCAAGCTTAAAAGGATAAACATTCAACATTGGCCATGCTGTCAATCCAGCATGACTTCTGCCACGCTCAAAACAACTGGAAACTCGGAACTGGGAAATCTGACTTCAGTGCGTTCAAGACAACTGGAAACTCTAAGAAAAAAACTAGCTCGTTTTGAACGGTCATCCAACTCGGAATTGCAAGCCGGGAACTCGGGCCTCTTTCTAGAGCACCCAAAACCTACCTTGTCTCAGCATTATCAGGCTGCATGTAACACACAGGAATGTGTCTATAAAAGAGCACTTAGTATTGTATTTGGAGATAATGTATTGGGTGACATAATGAGATAATAATTCAAAATGGAAATAATTGATGATTGCATGGAAGCTAATCTGCAAGCAAACATCAAAAAGAGTTGACACCTGGCTGCAACTCACCACTCCTTACCTGTTTGGTGAATAGGATTGCAGTGTCCCAGTATTCAGGGTGCTTGTCATTGTATTTGTTAAAATTTTTCTGCCAAGAACAGAAACTGCGCAGAGTAAGGGCAGCATTTGTGGAAACCTTGGGTCCTTTCTCTGCTTCGTTGATTACCATGAAGCCCACTACCACTATGTTTATGGAATTCATTATGCTGGGGTGCTTGTACAGCCTCGCAGCAACAGACATCAGGGTCAACAGGTAATGTTTCAAGTCATCCCCGTGGAATTTGGCCATAGACTCATCAGCCACGACAAGAACCTCCACAAACCTAGGGATGGAGGCAAACCGTTTGGATCTACCCAGGCTCTTCAAAACAGTTTCAGTCAGGCTGTCCATCTCCAGTCCTTTCATGTGTTTATATTTCTCAAAAGACCCTGAAATGTTTTGGGTCAAACCAGGTTCTACTCCACACCTGTTCGTGGTGGAATTGCCGCTGGAGTCCCTGTTGCGTCCCCGGCGGCGTATGACATGGGTTCTTCTCTCAGTATTCACTGTATATACTCCTCCGGCCCTTTCGTTCCCAAGCGGATTAATGAAATATTCCATGCCCTTGTAAGAAAAGGCGCCTTGTAAGCATTTGCAGAGGCTCAGCGCAGCATACGATTCCTGGTCTGCATTGACATCACCAGAATAAAAGCAGTGGCTCAGGTCTGTGGTTGCAGAGGAATTTGATTCTAAGGACCCGCTGTGAGGAGGGATGTTGGGCGCAATAAATGTAGAATCCGGTAAAAGGTTTAGATACAATTCTTGCCTGAAAGCAGTTATTTTAAAAACAACTAGCTGGTCATTCATTCTCCCCTCCGTCTGTCGAATAATATGTCTTTCTAAATGTTGGTGATCTAATCGAACAGGTACGCAAAAATCTATTTCCATGCAATAGTTCAATTTAGCATATAGTAGGACATCCATAAAAATAAACAGAGAGCTAATAAACATAGACATCTTTGTAATACAAAAACTATTATTTATCGATAAATCTGCCACTGTCCTTGGTGGTACCACGTCTGCATGTGAGGTTGATAATCCAGTGCGCTGTGTCACAGAGCCGCAGTTGAGCGTTCTCAAAGGATGAAAGACCAAAAGATGTGATCCATTCTCATCTTGAACTAGACTATTGAGGCCAGCCTACTCTTTGGACTTGGTGAGTTTGACTCTCTGGAGTCATGTTCATAAACATTGAGAACTGTCAACGGAAATTTGGGGAGGTGCTGGAAAAAGCTCATTGGACATAGTCTACCCCCTTGGTTTATGCTTTAAACCGAAGCCACTTGTAGCGCTCTAAACATTGTTTTCACATGTGGCAAGAGCTGAACTGTCTCCTCCCACTATCGGAAACAAAAGTGCGTCTCTGACGCAATAGGTTGAACACTCACCACCTACCACAAAGTAGCCTACTAAAGTACACTTTTTTTTTTTTTTTATCTGCCCAATTGTACAGTGTGAGTTATAGATTCAGGTGAAACTAATATGACTTAATCCGGCACAACTAATCGATTGATTAAACTATAATCTTATACAAACTAATTATCGTACAGGGTAACTAGGCTTAATGACTTAACAGTACAAACTCCATGCGTAATGCAAGTACACCCAAGATTGATTGAGAAATAGCCTAATAATATTTCCAACAATAATCACTTATGTTGCTCTAACTGTTCCAGTGTGCAGTACATGGGCTATAGTTTAAGAAAGAGCGACACCTGTTGCGCCTGCAGTGGAGTGCGCATCTCTGGTCATTCCCTCGCGTAAAAGGCATCTCATTATTTTGTAATCCAATACTACCACCTTGTGGTTGAAATGCTTCTTCAGAACATTACCTAAAATAACCTACTTTTTATTTAGCGCTAACATGTGTCCCTTTGCCAATGCTACATCGAAGCTTATGAGCCCCACGTAATATCAGCGTTCATTGTTTACATTATATGACATTTTTGACTCTCTTAGCTCTTAAACAGAATTCTCTAATGTATTCCATGACATCCCTTTATCATTGATTTATTCGACTGATGAGGATCATGGTCGTGGTGGGTATGCTATAGCCTATTTATGGGAGTCACTTGGGGGTCACTGCACTGGCAGTCACTCAAAGTTTAGAAATAACTGACCGAGCCCTTAAATTATAGTATGGGTGTCCAGCTTGCAGCGTCCTGTGCTGTAGGCCTTTGCCGAGTTAATATTAGTTGCAGGGTTGTCAAACTGCAGCTATTTCAGAAGGGGGGGGGAGTGTCGGTCTATTCTCATTGGATCCGTTTTATCCAAGAGTTTCTCATGAGGTACGAGTGGGAGGAGAATTTGAGGCAACGAGTAATATAAAAAACAATCCGCTTCTGTCCAGGAAAGACAAGTATAAATACCTCCGCTACTCCTAGTATTCAGTGGCGCTGCCGAGTGGTAGAACAGTATTTTAGCTCCGCTATAATAGCAATGAAGATCACACAATTCAACTAAAAATATCAGACATTCTCGACACAGACTGACTATACAGCAGTGGATTTTTGTTACATTATATTGCTGAAAAATTATTTCAGTTAAGAGGTCGCTAAGACTAAAAATAGCAAATTGACTCAATATTTTCTACAGACTACAGACACTATCAATTGACGAGCCCAGCGGCGTTTGGGCTTGGTCCGGAATTTTGGTTGAAAGCTTGTCTTTGTTTTAATAACTTTTTGAGTGCAATTTCCATTGCAGAAGATGTGTTCAAAACGGTGTTTCGTTTTACTAGTCCTGTGCGTAATCGACAAATCATTTTCGAAATTGTTTGAATCCGAGGAAATTGTACCTGTCAGGATAAATGGAAGAAGCAGCCGTCGTTTTTCGAAGCGAAGTGAAGAACAGCCGAGGTTTAGACTCAGTGCCTTTGGCCGAGATTTCACTTTGAATTTAAGCCCGGATAACAGTTTCTTATCTCCTACACTGACAATTCAACGCATCAAAGCAAAAGATATCCACACTTTACGCAGCGCCTCAGGTGCCCAAGGGAGATACACTTCATCTGATGCTGAAACTGAAACTGACTTTCACAACTTGATAAACAAGACTGAGGAAATGGAAAGAGATTTGAGAAGCTGTTTTTACTCGGGGACTGTGGACTCCAACCAAGATTCTGTTGTTGCGGTCAGTATCTGTTATGGCATCCTTGGATCGTTTGTTACAGACGGGGATGAGTATTTAATTGAGCCCAAAGTGCTCGGCTCAGGGAGAAGGGAGAGGTCCACTGAACAGTTACATTTTATCAAAAGAAGGTCAGCCACAGAAGCACCAAATAACACTCAAACTGTCTTTGATCAACTGAGTGAGGAGAGTCGTGTAAAAGCAGACAAGGAAAGTTTTATGCATGAGGAAAAAGATCCTGAGAGACAATTACGAGGGAAACGCTTTGTATCAGCACCACGATTTATTGAAACGCTGGTGGTTGCAGACATGTCGATGACACATTTCTATGGAGATGAGATAAAGGTAGGATATATTCGATTATTCGATTAATATAGCCCATGCTGATTCATTTATTTGATTGCATTTAACAAAAATGAAAGTGCCATACTGTCACCAAATTCTGTATTGATAATTTACAACACTGGAATTGTAATGACACTTGTGTTGTGCACAAAAACTGGTTGAATCAAAGTTGTTTCCACATAATGTAAACCAAAAAAATCAATGTGATGACTTTGAATCAACGTGGAAAACTGATTAGATTAGCAAAAAGTCGATGTAAGGGCATTTCCTTTTTTTCCCCCACCCAACTTTTAACCTACAGTGCCAGTCAAAAGTTTGGACAAACTACTCATTCAAGGGTTTTCTTTATTTTTACTATTTTCTACATTGTAGAATAATACTGAAGACTTCAAAACTATGAAATAACACAGATGGAATCATGTAGTAACCAAAAAAGTGTTAAACAAATCAAAATATTTTAGATTTTAGATTCTTCAAAGTAACCACCCTTTGCCTTGATGACAGCTTTGCACACTCTTGGCATTCTCTCATCCAGCTTCACCTGTTGGCTGCTTTTCCTTCACTCTGCGGTCAACTCATCCCAAACCATCTCAATTGGGTTGAGGTCGGGTGATTGTGGAGGCCAGGTCATCTGATGCAGCACTCCATCACTCTCCTTCTTGGTCAAATAGCCCTTACACAGCCTGGAGGTGTGTTGGGTCATTGTCCTTTTGAAAAACAAATGATAGTCCCACTAAGCACAAACCAGATGGGAATGCTGTGGTAGCCATGCTGGTTAAGTGTGCCTTGAATTCTAAATAAATCACAGACAGTGTCACCAGCAAAGCACCCCCACAACATCACACACCCTCCTCCATGCTTCACGGTGGGAACCACACATGTGGAGATCATCCGTTCACCTATTATGCGTCTCACAAAGACACAGCAGTTGGAAACAAAAATCTCAAATTTGGACTCATCAGACAGATTAAAGGACAGATTTCCACCAATCTAATGTCCATTGCTCGTGTTTATTGGCCCAAGCAAGTCTCTTATTCTTATTGGTGTCCTTTAGTGGTTTCTTTGCAGCAATTCGACCATGAAGGCCTGATTCACGCAGTCTCCTCTGAACAGTTGATGTTGAGATGTGTCTGTTACTTGAACTCTGTGAAGCATTTATTTGGGCTGCAATTTCTGAGCCTGGTAACTCGAATGAATTTATCCTCTGCAGCAGAGGTAACTCTGGGTCTTCCTTTCTTGTGGCGGTCCTCATGAGAGCCAGTTTCATCATAGCACTTGATGATTTTTGCGACTGCACTTGAAGAAACTTTCACAGTTCTTGAAATTTGCCGGATTGACTGACCTTCATGTCTTAAAGTAATGATGGACGGTTGTTTCTCTTTGCTTATTTGAGCTGTTCTTGCCATAATATGGACTTGCTCTTTTACCAAATAGGTCTAGCTTCTGTATACCCCCCTACCTTGTCACAACACAACTGATTGGTTCAAATGCATTAAGAAGGAAATACATTTCACAAATTAACTTTTAACAAGGCACACCTGTTAATTGAAATGCATTCCATGTGACTACCTTATGAAGCTGGTTGAGATAATGCCAAGAGTGTGCAAAGCTGTCATCAAGGCAAAGGGTGGCTACTTTGAGGAATCTCAAATATAAAATATATTTTGATTTGTTTAACACTTTTTTTGGTTACTACATGATTCCATATGTGTTATTTCATAGTTTTGATGTCTTCACTATTATTGTACAATGTAGAAAATAGTAAAAATAAAGAAAAACCCTGGAATGAGTAGGTGTCCAAACCTTTGACTGGTACTGTAAATCCAATGACATGGTGACATTTGTTGTTGATTTCACATTGAATTCACTGTTGGTTGACAACTCAACCAAATGTAAATCAAAACTAGACGTTGAACAGACATCGGTGCCCAGTGGGACGTCTTCTAAACAGGCTAGTTCAAGGTTGAAATTCAATCCAACAACCAATGCGGAAACACCCACAGCCAAAATGCTTTAAAGAAAAACGAATTTCTGTTTCAATTGAAAATAATTATAGCCTATATTTTGGGTGCAGGAACAATGTTTCTGCTCTGCTCTGTTATGCAAGACTAGGCTCTCCACACTTGCTGTTTATCTGATATGCATGGCGTAAACTAAGTTGGAGTAATGAGATCATTTAAAAAGTAAGAGGTCATAGTGAGTAATGATGGGATTGGGAAACCTCTGATAAGGTCAGGCAGGAGAATTATGCTTTGGCAGTAATTTCGTTCCACATTCCTTATGACTTGCTACTAGCATCATCACCATTAAACAATGTTGGGGTCATCCAAATGATAAAGAGCATGTGAGAATTAGACATTTTTAAAGATACTTCCTTATATATATATATATATATATATATATATATATGTATATGTATATGTATATGTGTGTGTGTGTTTAATTCCAGTCTGGCTGTTATTTCACTCACTTAGTTTTAGGATTTTAGCCCAAATCATCACCACCAGTGTTGCCTTGTAAGCCTCCCTAATATCTAACTGCCTGTTGTCCTCCCTTGCTCCAGCACTATATCCTTACCTTGGTCTCTGTGGCTGCCCAGCTTTACAAACATCCCAGTATCAAGAACTCTGTCCACATGGTGGTGGTGAAAATGGTGGTGGTGGAAGACGAGGAGGTTGGACCGTCACTCTCCAATAACGGAGGAGTCGCTCTGCGGAATTTCTGTGCCTGGCAACAGCAGTTCAACCCGGCCAGCCAGAGGCATCCTGAGCACTATGACACTGCTCTACTTTTCACCCGAGAGGTGAGCACTGTCTGCCCCATATGTATACTGTTACAATGTCACAGGATCTCCCCAACCCCTTATTCCATAACCATATTACCGTATGGTTTGGAGAGTTAATGAAATAATGTAAGCAAACAGTGATATATTTGATTATGTATCCTCTAATGAAATACAATTGCCTGTGTCAATGAATCAGATTGGATGAGCTTTGAAACCTATAGGGCTAAAGGGCTCTCCTATGAGCTATTTTTAGAATGGTTACAAATCAGCCTTGAGTGACGATGACATCCCTTAAAATGGCCAGGGTATGGGTGTAATGTTGCTGCCCTGAATTTGACCTGCCAAAGAATGTGTGCCACATGCCTCGCCATAAGATAAACCAAAAACTTGAAACTTAAATTGGAAGTAGTTTGCACATGCGGTCTCCAGTGAGTGATGCTTCTGCAAAACAAGGTGTACACATGCTGAGTTGAATTCAGCATGTCGCTCTAAGTCCAGATGTCCTTTGAATCATGTACAGTTATGTCTTGTGGTTTGGGTCATAGGCCCCAGGAAACATTTATCTCAGTCACAGAGAGCCAGCCTGACATGTGAAGGGAAAATGTTGAGGCATGTTGTTGAAATATATCTCTGATACCACACCATTAATTTCCCCACATCATAGATCTGCTTCTGTCTGCCAGGAATATTTATTTGCTTCATTTTATGATGGAAACATTGACAAACAAGTTTTTTTGGCATAAGCTCTCTAATGAAAATAGAAAAAAAACAACCAGGGACAAATAGAAACGCTGTCTAAAGATTCACTGTTTGAAACCGCTGCTGTCTGTCTTCCAGGATATTTGTGGACATCAGAGTTGTGACACCCTAGGGGTTGCTGATGTGGGAACCATGTGTGATCCAAAAAGGAGTTGCTCTGTCATTGAGGACAATGGACTTCAAGCAGCCTTCACTGCTGCCCATGAACTTGGTATGACTTGTGCATTAAAAAAAATCAACTTTCTCAAACTTCTATATTGACCATGTATAAAGATACTATAGGTCTACATACATTTTGCCTCTTGTCAAAAATGGTCCGCTAAATGCACAGACATATTGTCCACAAATAACTTCATTTGGACAGAAAGGGGCACACCCATGAGCCGAAAGCTTATGCAAAAGTTTGTTAGCCTACAACTAATAATTGTGTGGTTTAATGAGATAAGAACTTGATATGAACCATACAGTCAACCCCCAAGCCTAATGTAGATGTAAACTATTAGTAACTTTACTTCCATAGCGTACCTTAAATAGCTTTAATTTAATTTGAAGGGGTTTTCAGGATCCCTCTTTCGTCCCATGATCGGTACTGAATACTGATACAGTATTGTTCTCCTTTAGGCCATGTGCTGAGTATGCCACACGACGACTCCAAGAATTGCGAGAGGATGTTTGGGAATCTAGGCGGCCATCACATGATGGCCCCTCTGTTCGTTCACCTCAACAAGACTTTCCCCTGGTCCCCTTGCAGTGCTCTCTACATCACAGAGTTCTTTGACAATGGACACGGTATGTCATGCTGATAAACAACACTGACAACTCTGATATAGGCAAATAAAACTTATTTGGTAACACTTTCTATGAGGAAAGTGTTAGAAAGTGTTTATCTTTATTGAAAGTTTTTAATTGATTTGATATTACAATAACTTTTTTTTTTACAACTATTGTACTTGTTTTATTCTACTGCAATATCTGAATACTGTATGTTGAGGTCAGAAGGCTGGACGTGAATGAAAAATTAAACTCAGCAGTTGCTGGTAGCGCCATTTTTACTAGAGCCTTCTAGGTCTGTGTTTACTAGAGCCTTCTAGGTCTGTGTTTACTAGAGCATTCTAGGTCTGTGTTTACTAGAGCATTCTAGGTCTGTGTTTACTAGAGCATTCTAGGTCTGTTTTTACTAGTGCCTTCTAGGTCTGTTTTTGCTAGAGCCTTCTAGGTTAAATCACTCTGTTATGAGGGCCCAGTTTTCAATTCTGTATTTTCTTTTACAATGTCTACCCGCTTAAACAAATTATGGCCTCTGAAAATGACAATAAATACGCCAGGAGAAGTTACTTATTGTAAGACATTATAAAGGCTCATAATGCTTATAACATGTTATAAAGCATTATACATGCAGGCTTCACAAGTGTTCACAATGTTACCTCCACCTGTAGTTTCTCACCTCAGGTTTGCTTATATGCAAAAGACTCTCTGCAGTTGCATTCGGAAAGTATTCAGACCCCTTCCCTTTTTCCATATTTTGTTACGTTACAGCCTTATTCTAAAATGGTTTCAAATTTTTTAAATCCTCATCAATCTACACACAATACCCCATAATGGCAAAGTGAAAACAGGTTTTTAGAAATGTTTGCAAATGTATGAAAAATAAAAAACAGATACCTTATTTACATAATTATTCAGACCCTTTGCTATGAGACTTGAAATTGAGCTCAGGTGCATCCTGTTTCCATTGATCATCCTTGACGTTTCTACAACTTGATTGGAGTCCACCTGTGGTAAATTCAATTGATTGGACATGATTTGGAAAGGCACAAACCTGTCTATATAAGATCCCACAGTTGACCGTGCATGTCAGAGCAAAAACCAAGCCATGAGGTCGAAGGAATTGCACGTAGAGCTCCGAGACAGGATTTTGTCGAGGCACAGATCTGGGGAAGGGTACCAAAACATTTCTACAGCATTGAAGGTCCCCAAGAACACAGTGGCCTCCATCATTCTTAAATGGAAGAAGTTTGGAACCACCAAGACTCTTCCTAGAGCTGGCCGCCCGGCCAAACTGAGCAATCGGGGGAGAAGGGCCTTGGTCAGGGAGGTGACCAAGAACCCAATGGTCACTCTGACAGAGCTCCAGAGTTCCTCTGTGGAGATTGGAGAACCTTCCAGAAGGACAAACATCTCTGCAGCACTCCACCAATCAGGCCTTTATGGTAGTGGCCAGACGGAAGTCACTCCTCAGTAAAAGGCACATGACAGCCCGCTTGGAGAATGCCAAAAGGCACCTAAAGACTCTCAGACCATGAGAAACAAGATTCTCTGGTCTGATGAAACCAAGATTGAACTCTTTGGCCTGAACGCCAAGAGTCACTTCTGGAGGAAACTTTGCACCATCCCTATGGTGAAGCATGGTGGTGGCAGCATCACGCTGTGGGGATGTTTTTCAGCGGGAAAGATGAACGGAGCAAAGTACAGAGAGATCCTTGATGAAAACCTGCTCAGGACCTCAGACTGGGGTGAAGGTTCACCTTCCGACAGGACAACGACCCTAAGCACACAGCCAAGACAACGCAAGAGTGGCTTTGGGACAAGTCTCTGAATGTCGTTGAGTGCCCAGCCAGAGCCCGTACTTGAACCCGATCTAACATCTCTGGAGAGATCTGAAAATAGCTGTGCAGCGACGCTCCCCATCCAACCTGACAGAGCTTGAGAGGATCTGCAGAGAAGAATGGAAGAAACTCCCCAAATACAGGTGTGCCAAGCTTGTAGCGTCATACCCAAGAAGACCCGAGGCTGTAATCGCTGCCAAAGGTGCTTCAACAAAGTACTGAGTAAAGGGTCTGAATACTTATATAAATGTGATATTTCAGTTTATTTAAATTTTTAATACATTTGCAGAAATGTCTAAAAACCAGTTTTTGCTTTGTCATTATGGGGTATTGTGTAATAGATTGATGAGAAAACCCCCCACATTTTAATCAATTTTAGAATAAAGCTGTAACGTAACGAAATGTGGAAAAGGTCAAGGGGTCTGAATACTTTCCGAATGCACTGTACATTGGAGACATCCTAGGGAAATTAGAGATTGGCTGCCAGATTTTGTGCTATACTACTTATAGCTGAAATTGGGCGTGAATGGCAATGTGTTTGTTATTTGAAGAGATTAATATTATTTTGTAACATTTAATCAAGACCTTCCTTTCCTCTGAGTCACACATACAGAGATGGTTTCAGTTCTCACGAGCATAAAGTAACAGCTGTTACAAGCAAATGTTCTTTATCAGTTAGTCAGTGATTCCAAAGAGAACGTATGTGGCTAAGAATGTGGTCTGATCACTGGGTCAAGAACAACATCACACTAAAGCTCATTGAACATTTCTCCAAATAGGAGATCATGGGTTTGCGAAGCTTCACAAGCTGTCCATAATGTGATTGTGTGAAGACTCCAACAAAGTCAGCTTCTGTCACAGTCACTGTCAAATCTCCACAATATACAACCTTTAGATTTAAAAAAACAGAACTCTTGTGTGTTGAATCACAGGGGACTGCCTCTTGGATCCACCGGAGAGCATCTTACCGTTACCCAGTGAACTCCCAGGCACCACATACAGCCTCGACCACCAGTGCCAGCAGATGTTTGGGGAGGAGTTTGTGCACTGCCCCAACACCTCTGACAGTGACGTCTGCAGCCAGCTGTGGTGCAGGGAGGAAGGAAAGCCCCACTGCACTACCAAAAACGGCAGCCTCCACTGGGCGGATGGCACCACATGCGCCACCAAAAGGAGCTGTCTGCACGGTGCATGCATGGCAGACCACGAGGTCATGCAGCCAAAGGTAAGCCCAAGTTTTTCTCAGAAAAGGGGAGGAAAGAATTATCCCATATTTGGTCTTGTAATATTGCATTTTGACACAAACTCTGTCTCAGAATGCCTTGTTAGTTACTATACTGTATGTGTATTCATTTATCTGTGATAGAGTATTTCCTTCCTGCGTTGTAAGGAAGACCGTCCTTTTGAGAGTACAAGCTCTTTAGCATGTGTCAATAAACTCTATTTATAAATTGACATGCTGGCAGTTAATATACTTTTTGCTCACCCACTAATAAAAGCATTGTGAATGCACACATGCGCACAAACACACAGTTCACTTTAGTCTTGCCAAGTGCACCATGGGTTCTGCAAGTGGTGAAATGTAGGGCAGGAATGTGGGAGACAGCAGACGCGTGCCACACTGACAGACACATGGCATGCCAAGAGACGCTGAAGCCTCAGCCTAGACTGTGGTTGAGCTGGACGGCTCATGTTATCATGGCACTCAGTACTCACTCTGTTTCGTTTTGGCATTACTACAGGTGGTTGAGGATGGCGGCTGGGGCGCGTGGGGACCATGGCAACAGTGCTCCAGGACATGTGGAGGGGGTGTGGAGTTCTCCTACAGGGAGTGCACAGATCCCGTGCCCCAGAACGGCGGCAAGTATTGCGAGGGCCAGAGAGTCCAGTACCAGTCCTGCAACACCCAGGCGTGTGAGGATAATGATGGTAAGCCATATTTTGTCTAGGTACTTGCACTACAGAATTTCATTATTTTTTATGTAATGGTGAGCTATAGTGATGTTTTTAACCTAGATTTTTTTATTTTATATCTCTGCTTTGATATTAGTTTGATGGATAATTTGCTTTGTCATTTTCTCCAACCTTAGGGAAGAGTTTTAGAGAGGAGCAGTGTGAGAAGTACAACAGCTTCAACTATCTGGATATTCTTGGGAACATGAAGCAATGGATTCCAAAGTACACTGGTGTGTCGCCCCGGGACAGGTGTAAACTCTTCTGCCGGGCTAAAGGCAGCAGTGAATTCAAAGTCTTTGAAGCCAAGGTACATTCACTAAAAATCATCTGTAGAATGTTGGCCACTGTAAATAAATATTTTACAGCTTGCCTTCACTGTTTTGGTGAATCACAGTGTTAAGTAAATTGAGACCTCAGGTTTGCATTTGTGCTCCATAGGTTGTCGACGGCACCACATGTGGTCCCGACACTACGTCTGTCTGTGTACAAGGCCAATGTGTCAAGGCGGGCTGTGACCAAGAGATCGGCTCCAACAAGAGGCTTGACAAGTGTGGCTTGTGTGGTGGCAATGGCCTCAGTTGCAGGAAGATCACTGGTTCATACAACAAAGCCATGTGAGTATACCTAAATATTCCAACTACAATTATGCTAATAAGCATGTATGACCCTAATATAATGTCTTAGCTATTATCATCTTATTATGATCCAGACTAAATAACAGTCATATTTAGACAGTATTATTGGTTGATTGTCTTTTGTGCTGCCGATGTGATTACAGCTGTAATGAGACATTTGCTTTTTTCTTTCAGTTACGGATATAGCGACATTGTGACCATTCCTATCGGGGCTACCAATATTGACATCAAACAGCGCAGCCATAGAAACATCAAACACGATGGAAACTACCTGGCGATCAAGCAAGAGAGCGGTGGCTACATACTGAATGGTAACTTCTCTGTGTCCACAGTGGAGCAGGATATCCCTGTTCTTGGGGCTGTGCTGAAGTACAGTGGCTCGTCCACCACCTTGGAGAGAATCCAGAGCTTCAGACAACTGAGGGAGGCTGTCACCATCCAGTTGCTGGCCACTGCTGGGGAGGAATCTCCACCCAAGGTCAAATATACATTCTTTATCCCCAAAGATGTGTCTTTCACTAAATCCAAAGAGAGAAAGGCTTCGTTGCATATGATCCAGGCTTTCGGTGTGCCCCAGTGGCGTTTGGGCGAATGGTCAGAGTGCTCCAAGAGTTGCGGCTCTGGGTGGTCCCGAAGGAACGTCGAATGCAGAGACAATGCTGGTTTCCATTCCAATACCTGCGATAAGGACCTGAAACCGACCGATATCAGACCCTGTGCTGATCTGCCGTGCCCCATCTGGCAAATGGGGCCTTGGTCGTCCTGTTCACGAACTTGTGGCCAGGGGGAACGCCGACGCAGTGTTGTCTGTATAGACTACACCGGCAAGACTGTCGAGTCGGAGATGTGTGACGCCAACAAGCAACCTGCGCCAGTGTCGGGAGAGTGTGTTTACCAAGAGTGCTAGCGAGGAGACATGAAGATAGAGAAAACTTTGGTAGGGGTAGTGTAGTAGACCCTTAACCACTCTGACCCGACCGTGCTTTAGAGAAAAGAAGGGAAACCCTAGTTTGGAAATGAAGAGTACACTAACTAACCCGGACAAGTCACAGGGCACTGGCCTGTGACTTGATGTTTTAACAACCACTAGAGAAGTTTGAACCAATAGAGATCTACCTCAGGATGTACATGTGTTGTTTTGTTAAAATAGACAAAGGTACTGTGTGCGAATTATTATTCTCTCCTAAAAGCTATTACTTTGCATAAAACCTACTGACAAACACCATTGCGGTTAAATATACCTCAATTTTCCAGCATATAACCCATAACTATACAGTCAGAGACTCGGAGCCAATAAATGAACTGGGCTAATAAAGTTAGTCTAAAGGCATACTATTCCTACCATAACATGTGACATTATTATTGCAAGACAACGACTTACAGTGCTCATTATTTTGAGTAAAAGGGGTTTGTGTAAAACATTTGTTTAGGTACACAAGATGGAACATTTTGTAAAATACCTTGCTTGTGGATACCTTGCTTGTGGTTTGCTATTTTGTTTCATTTTCTTGGAAAAAAACATATTTTCTAAATGTGAGATTGTGTTTACTGCCTGTAAAAAACTTATGTTGAAAAATCTATCTGCTATCTTATTGATTCATGATTTGTGGTACTGATACGCTTACAGATGAAAATGTAAATTCACCCATAATCATTCAAATGATACAGGTGATTAGGTCTGCCATTGACTAATCTCTCATGGACAGACTACGTAATATAATCTGACGCAATTACGCAAGATTTTAGTTCTGTGCTTCCGAGATTAGACATTGACAGACACTAAATAGAAGAATATACTTTGTAACAAAAAAACAACCAGCATAGTTAGTAGTAAGAATGAACCAGACATTTTAGTGTTCATAAAAAAAAATTACATTAGAGTTTGAGTTTACACTTTCTTTGTGTAAAATTTAGTTTAGCAAAGACAATGGTCAGGAATCTGATCGGAGGCAAATCAGTGTAACGGGACTTTTTCTCTGTTCTGTACATATTTGTAGTATTTTAAAGGAATTCTATGGCTACAGAGAATTGGAAGTACAACCAAATTCATGATAAACACATGATGTGTGAAATGGTATCTTATGGTGCATCAAAAATATTATCTATTTGTATAATTTGCATAAAGAACAACTCCTTTGTTTGTAATAATTTCATAGTTGTGTTTAAAATGTTATTATTCATAATGCGAAGAATGCTCTGTTTGTCAGATGTCTGTATGTATAAGTTTGATTTCTCATTCTAGTTTTGTATGTCATAAAACAAAAAAGGCAAAATATGATATACCTTCAGTGAAGGACCATACTATATTATTATTATCATTATTATTATTATTATTATTATTATTATTATTATTATTGTAGCTTCCTTTTTAAAGCTATTTATTTTTGTAATGTTTTTACCTTGGGCATGAAATTATAAGATTTTCAGATGCTGCTGTCTTTGAGATTTATGTCTACAATAAAATGATAAAATACATCACATTTTACTAAATGCTGTAAGCATTGAGTTGTCTCTTTATTTTTTACCCGTTTGGAAAGTTAAAGACCCACTTTAGCTATGTTTGGCCTACAACAGGCCTGCTTCTCCTTCCACTGCAGTCTGCTGGTTAAACACAGAGAATCAAAATACAAACTACAGACATTGAACAATCTTCCCAGTAGATGGACATACACATCAGACAATGAAAGTACGTTTTAAATTATCCTTGGTCCATATTTTCTGTTCTTCTGGCTAGCATTTATGGGCTTATTGTATTACATGAAAACATCTTGATCAGTTAGCTTTCAGAGGTACCGTAGCCAATATGAAAGGAGCTTTTTGACAGCATGATCCTCATCCAAACAGAAGAATTCAGAGGCTAACGGACTATCCCCAGTATCATCCAATAGAATGGTCCAGAACTGTGTCTGCAGACTCTTGACCACAGTATAACAATAACATATTCAGAGAGGAACCTGCAGCGATGCCTGCAGAAATTATAGCTAATTGCTTTGGATACATGACAAATCAAATTCAAAAAGATTTTCCATTGTCATTTCCACACAACATTTTTTGGGCAGAGCTCATGGATTCTGCTCATGGATTCTTAGGGCAATTCAATGCGATGCTAATAGGCTTCCCACTGGGCACACACTGGTTGAATCAACATTGTTTCTACGTAATTTCAATGAAATTACATTGAACCAATGTGAAATAGACGTTGAATTGATGTTTGTGCCCAGTGGGTTGGCTACATTGTCAGGGCGTGCTGTAGGTGCAATGGTGGAATCAAACGCAGGACTCAGAACGATATTCCAAAGGCTTGTATTACTGCCCAAACTAAGGCAAAAGGACAACTTTGCCCGAAGGCGAAAAATACGCACGAAGGCGAAAAGTAACAGCGCACAAACAGGTGCGACAATAGTAACTGCGCACAAACAGGTGCGAAAATACTCCAGCGTAGTGGAGAGAAGCTCAACCGAGCAATACACACAACTGACGGAAAATAATTACACACAACACTAGACAAACACAACGAGAAACTTATAGGACACTAATTACGCCAAAACAGAAACAGGTGTGGAAACAAACAGACAAAAGCAAACGAACATGAAACATACAGCGGTGGCAGCTAGAATTCCGGAGACGACGAACGCCGAAACCTGCCCGAACAAGGGAGAGAGGCAGCCTCGGCCGAAACCGTGACATACATAATATGATAGGGTAAGAAAGGTAGTGTTACTAGTGGCCTAATAGGCTACAAAGCAACCTTGTCAACGGGTTTGGACCTCTTGGTGTTATGGTTAAGGTGTTCAAGTCCCAGTTGGGCTACTGGTTAAGGGCCTTACACGCAGGGAGCTGCAAACCCTGTTGAAGCCACCTACAGTTTATGAAAAATCTTGAAAACTGTAACAGGCCAATGTGGAGAGTGAGAGTGAGCTGTAACAGGGGCTCGATCCATGGATCCTGCAATGCAAAGGTGCAAACACTACTCCCTGCGCCACAAAAGCCTGGGCCTCCCCTCATGAAAAAGTACTACTGAATTACTCCACAAAACCTATTTGTGCAGTAGTGACTATGTAGAGACTTGTAGGAATTGTGTAGTGAATGTGTAATTTATGCACTACGCAAGATACACAAGTACAGTTATGGAGTGTTCAGTAGGAAAACAGTAGTGTTTCCAGTAGTAACCAGGTAGAGGTTTTTACTACTTGATGTTGGTAGTAAATAAGTAGTTAAACACTACAGCTTCACTACACAGGCTTTTAAATAGTAATCAGGTAGAGTTTTTACTACTTGTTTGTATAGTGAATAAGTAGTCACAACACTACAGCCAGACTACACCAGCTTTTCAGTAGTGATCAGTAGAGTTTTGCAGCTCGTGGATTCCTGTGCACATGACCACAGAAGAAGACAAAACCAGAAGTAGTTGGTTGGTGTTAGCTAGATAATGTTTGACAATCCCGAATGTAATCATCTTCCATCCTTTGTCATCCAGTCTTTCATAGCCCTTATGCTGGCACCATTTGTAAGTTTAACTTTCCTTTATGTTTTATGAATACTTTGATGTCGTTGTTTAGCCGTTTAAATAACTTTTCATATCAAATCAAATCACATTTTATTGGTCACATACACATATTTAGCAGATGTTATTGCGGGTGTAGCGAAATGCTTGTGTTCCTAGCTCCAACAGTGCAGTAGTGTCTAACAATTCACAACAATACATACAAATCTACAAGTAAAATAATGGAATTAAGAAATATATAAATATTAGGATGAGCAATGTCGGAGTGGCATTGACTAAAATACAGTAGAATAGAATACAGTATATACATATGAGATGAGTAAAGCTGTATGTAAACATTATTAAAGTGACTAGTGTTCCATTATTAAAGTGGCCAGTGTCTATGTATATAGGGCAGCAGCCTCTAAGGTGCAGGGTTAAAACCGTGTGGTAGCCGGCTAGTGATGGCTAATTAACAGTCTGATGGCCTTGAGATAGAAGCAGTTTTTCAGTCTCTCGGTCCCAGCTTTGATGCACCTGTACTGACCACACCTTCTGGATGATAGCAGGGTGAACAGGCCTTGGCTCGGGTGGTTGATGTCCTTGATGATCTTTTTGTCCTTCCTGTGACATCGGGTGCTGTAGGTGTCCTGGAGGGCAGGCAGTGTGCCCCCGGTGATGTGTTGGGCAGACCGTACCACCCTTTGGAGAGCCCTGCGGTTGCGGGAGGTGCAGTTGCCGTACCAGGCAGTGATACAGCCCGAAAGGATGCTCTCAGTTGTGCATCTATAAAAAGTTAGGGGCCAAGAAGAATTTCTTCAACCTCCTGAGGTTGAAGAGGCACTGTTACGCTTTCTTCACCACACTGTCTGTGTGGGTGGACCATTTCAGATTATCAGTGATGTGTACGCCGAGGAACTTGAAGCTTTCCACCTTCTCCACTGCGGTCCAGTCGATGTGGAAAGGGGCGTGCTCCCTCTGCTGTTTCCTGAAGTCCACGATCAGCTCCTTCGTTTTGTTGAAGTTGAGGGACAAGTTATTTTCCTGGCACCACTTCGCTAGGACCCTCACATCCTCCCTGTAGGCTGTCTCATCATTGTTGGTAATCAGGCCTACTACTGTTGTGTTGTCTGCAAACTTGATGATTGAGTTGGAGGCGTGCGTGGCCACACAGTCATGGGTGAACAGGTAGTACAGGATGGGGCTGAGCACGCACCCTTGTGGGGCCCCTGTGTTGAGGATCAGCGAAGTGGAGGTGTTGTTTCCTACCTTCACCACCTGGGGGCGGCCGGTCAGGAAGACCAGGACCCAGTTGCACAGGGTGGGGTTCAGACTCAGTGCCCCGAGCTTAATGATGAGCTTGGAGGGTACTATGGTGTTGAAGGCTGAGCTATAGTCAATGAACAGCATTCTGACGTAGGTAT